GAGAGAACCATCAAGTGAAATCACACGACAGGCCATCGCTTGACCTGAACCCGAACGGGAAGTGGCGAGTTGGTCTTCCAAGGGTGACATGGAGGAGGTCATGTGAAGACGAGATGAAAGCATTTCGGTAGACGTGGAACCAGGTGAAAACGTTAGCAGAGAACCAAACGCAATGGATGGAGACGTGCGGCTGAAGCTGTATGTTCCTCTAGGAACTAAAAGAAACAATAATAATATCTATTGTATATACACCCATCGCTTGAAATCCAGTTATGCTTAAATCAGTGTTGACCGTTGTGAACCACGGTATGTAGTCTTTCATCTGTTGTATTGATATTTCTGTTGTCTTTGCTATTTACCGGAGGCAATTTACGGCTTTAAGTTATGTTTCTATTCATATTCTCTGCATATCGTACCGTAATTCTGAACAGAACACGATCTAGTTGTAACTGGTGTTTATCTCATTAGCTAATTTTCTCTTCAAAGAATGTAAACGTGTGTAAAAATTTAGGAGACATATCAAATAGCAATCAGATGATACACAGGAGGTAGGTAGTATTGTTTTCTCGCAACTATGAATCAGTAAAATTGGTACATTCAGTTTTCACGAATTCATTGTCCTTAAAATTTATATAATTTCTAACAAATGTATTTTACAGAGTTCTGTGTGTGCCATTACACAGTGAACAGTTTCTTGGATGATTTCATGGAGGTAAATGTATTACTCAGTTGAAATTATCTGGACTGAATAGGGCTTTGTAAAATTATTTAGATAGTATTCCATAAACAAAGGTCTTTGAAATTGAGTTAGAAGATATTTGGTAGTATCATGAGATTGTCGCATAAAAGAGAATGTTCTCTGACATTCACAGAAAACGTTGGAATGTTGAAATTGTTCAGTGTTCGTGTAGTGAAGCACTAGTGATACAGGAGTACACTATCAGAATACCAGGGAACTGATAACCTTAATTTTCAATCTGTTTGTGTATGGTGAAACCCTAATGATTGAGCATTAATAAATAGAGATAACATACTGATATGGTCTTTGTCGTTGTAGATGATATGAAATTAAATTTCAAAGGATATTTAATGCCTAAATGTTTCCTTATGTAGATTATTCGGCTAACTAGTCACTGTCACTAAAACTAAATGTTTCGTGTTTTGCAGTAGTTGTTTGAGATCGCTTTGTTTATTGGAGGCTGATAATGTAGATAAATTATGAACAGAAAAATTAGGAACATAAATCTTAGTTTCACACTGACTGACACAGCCTTTATACTTTATACTATTTCTGAAGACAAACAAGAGGAAACTGATTGACTGCCCCTTTTTCATCACACCGAAATGTAACAGAGACAGTAGGCTTGACTGATAATTCATTCTACTGTTATGGCAGCTTCAGTTACATTTGAAATAAATTAGTGATACGTAATTAGAACAATGCATAATTAAAAGATTAAAAGACTGGATGTCTTAAGCTGTGCATTGAGCTGAGATGAATACAGGAATTAAGTAAAACTTTGCAGTACTGTATTCAACCAGGCTGATCACATTTTTCATTTCTTGCGTTGCCAGAAGAACATACAGCTTGAAGTTTTGAAGTTTTAGTAGTTGTGCTGTTGCATTTACAGTGTGGAAGTGACAGCCTCATACCCAACTCTCCCTTTTTACTGGCATACTACCAGTTATTAAAGTAGGTGAGGCTTAGGAGGGATTTGGTGGGGGAATCAAAGCTACACTTTTGGCAAGACTAGAGAACACTCTACTTTTTTTAATTCCTTCATGTTCCCAGTGGAACATAGGGCTTCAAACTAGAGGCTTGAGTTTTCGGTAGCAGTGGTGTTTTCCTTTTACGGGATAGGGTTGCTAGCCTCATGCCAAACCTTCCCTCTTTACCAATCTTTGTTACTGGCTTAGCGAGGTGAAGGAGTGCGTTGGCTAGGGATCGAACCTTGAACCACCTACACGGTTGGCGAGCATTCTACTGCTGTGCCACTGACGCACAAACACTCTATTACGGACAGTTTATCAGGAACTCTGGTCATAACATCACTATGTGGAAAACTCCGTCGGCAGTTCTGTGGTAGAACATAGGCCAACCAGGCAAGTTGTCCAGAGTTCGATTCCCGGCCAACGCACCCTTAAACCTTGCTTGGTCAGTAGTAAGGCTGGTAAAGAGGTACGGTTGGGTATAAAACCGTAAAACCAATTCGCTGCTACTGAAACTTCAAAGCTCTAACTTGAAGCCCTATGTTCCAATGGGAAAGCGAAGGAATAAGAAGAACCGAGAAAATTGGAAAATAGTAAGAATAAAATCAGTCTGAAGTTGATTCACCGAACAATAAGCCTAATTTCTGACTTGTTTACCACAAAAATTTATCTTATAATCAAAAGTGTTTTCTGTGTATTAACAAGAGATAAAAAAAAACTAGTTTGTACTTTATCCCACTGATTAAGTACAAGTATTTGTTCTCATTTCCTTCAAAGGTTGTATCCTGGGGTTATAAAAAAAATACACAGATGACATTCAGCTCAACCTTCTTATTTAATAAAATATAATAAAATATTAGGGTAATTAATAATTAATTAATCGAGGTTATCTACTATGTAGATTAACCTAGAGTTCAAATATACATAGAAAGCGTCAGTACAGTTGAAATAGTTTAATTAACAGTGTTCATAGTTTAAGAAAGAAATTCAACTTCCGATTAACTGACCCATTTTAGTATAATTGAATACTTTTATTTCATTGATTTTTCTAGACTAATCGGAATTAGAAGTAAGTTATACCGATAGTGTACTTGTTGTCTATGGCCTTTCTTATTACGTCTGTTACCCTAGATCTATGTAATACTATTCACATTTGTTTTGCGTACCCCAACAGTCTGTTTCTTACCACTTTAATAAATTCTGCCTCATTTGATAACCAGTCATTAATAATACCTCTATGTTTACACGACACCATCGTTAGTATTTCGTCACTGTCACCGTTATCTGCCACCCCAATGAACTTGAGTCCATCGTATCCCATTTGTCTATCTATTTCTTTGTGGGATTCATTTTGTCTTTCGAATTTCGGCTTGAGATTAGGTGATCAGTAGCTGTCGAGGCTTTGTGAGTACAAATAGATTTAGCTAAATCTGAAATAAGAGTAGTTACTTCGCTAACTTTTCAGTGTATCTGACTGCAACTCAAGGTGAAGTAAATTTGGGTTTCTATACAGTATCGGCTGACTTAAATTTTGATGTACATCTTGTTAACATGTAGGACGAAAAATCATCTCTCCAAAATTTGAGACCTGGGGTTTAACAAGTTCAATGTACTTTAGATTAATAAACCTTCTACAACAACTCCATGTATTTAGAAAAGTACGGATGAACCTGGGAGTTATTACGGAACTGTGAGTCTGATTAAATTGCCACACATTATAAGGTTGATACAGCTGTGTGTACATGAAGAAACGTGGAGACTGTAGTTGTGTGCCTGACAGTGAGTTGACCGAAGCGTGTATTGTGGTTTCATATTTTTATAATGCAACTATTCTGAATTCAAAATGTGGATTCCATTGTGTAAGTGAAACTTATATGTCTGCGTTCGTTTGCCCTTTATACTATACATTTTTATAAGACATTTTTAACTTATGCATACATCAAACGTCTGATCAGTCTCTTACATCCATGATAGTTAATGTGAAACCATTGTGAAATTCCTTGTTACTATTAGTGATAGTGTACTATTAGTGATTTCATCTGCTAACCTTGTGACTTTTAATTCTTTTCTGCGTTATGGTGCACAATCTTCTAGATTTTCTTTTTTTTCTCATTTGGTTTTAGGCATTCCTTGACCTTTTCTTTCATGGCATATTAAGTGATGATGATTTCAGTTGCAGTTCATGACGTGAAATTTTATATTGTTGAAAATTACTGCATTTGTAGTTATTTCTGTGCTATTAACTTATTGTTTGTAGTGTCGTATTTCTTTACTGCTTTATATACATTAAAATTCTTCATAGTTTAAGGAGGTCTATGAAAAAAAATGAAATCACTTTATTATACTAACTTGATCTTTCTTTCTCTCTTTCAAGCAGGACCTTCAGTTGAATAGACTATTTAAAACTAGGGAGTACTAAGCGGCTACTTCATCGTAGTTTGGAACTGGCTAATGGTGAGGCTAAGCATCACCAATCAACAGAAGTTAGATTTTACACGTTAATGGATTTGTCGCAGTTACCAGATGGTCAACTCTTAACGTGAAGGCCTTTGGTTCAGTTACTGGGGGGGACATTGTGCACTGGTGAAGAGTTCCAAAACTGGAATGAAACAACATCCTAGTACACCATGGTTTCTAGCGATTCGCTAAATGAAGTTTGTTTGTAATATAACCTGAAACCAATCATATCTGTGCACATCAACATTTTCTTTTTTAGTTAAACACTTTAGGCGCTAGACAGATTGTCACTAATCACGCACTCTCAAACTTTACCTAGCTTACTGGCCGGTAGAACAGGAAAGATTGGGCTCAAGGCTGGCAACACCGCTAGTGAAACTTTAAAAGTTTACATTCACTTGTTCCCTCTAGGAAAGCAATGCATGGGAAGGATGTGCACTGTGTGTGCATGCTGTCTTAAGTCACAAGGAAATAAAGTTTCTGATCTTATGTAAGACCGGTGCGTTATGTTTATCATCTTCTAATAGATTAATAGGATAAAATTGCCGCAAATATAATTATAAGAAGGTGATTCTATTCTCCTGAAACTGACGTAGGTAGAATTTGCACTGATAATTTTATATTCATATATTTTCAACTAAAGCTGTCCACTGAATCTCTTCATCAAATGATCTATAAGCCATATGTTCTTAGACGCATATTTTGTTGATAAACGACTGATAAAGTTAAGACGATCCCTTCAAACTTCAATCCTTATTCGAAGAATTTCTGTGATTTACAAAAAAACAAGAAATAAATAAATAAATTTGAAAGAACATCACTATCTGTATAAATAATAATAGTAATAATAATTCATATTTTTGTATTAAATAAAAATCTGGCCAAGTAAAGAGGGAGAGAGAAAACAAATTTTTCCAACTGGAATAGGAGTGAGGAGAGAAAACATAAAACGTACAGATTTCTTTCGAAATCACAAAAATTCATCAGCATACAGATTTGTATTTAATAGATACACATACAGATATCGTATACCCTTTTTTGTGATATGAAGACAGGATAATAGTCAGTTGACAATTAAGATTAACAGATAAATAAGTGGAAAAAAATTCTAAAGTCACCACATTTCTGTTTTATATATATATAAACTGCTACTCTAAAATTGGTCAATATGCGCGAGGGTGTATTACTGTCATTTTACAGTATTCTTTATTTTGTCATTATCATTGGAGGAGGGAGAGAAATCAACAGCTGATTTAACATTTGGATAAGAATATTAATAATAGTAATAACACTATCAACACGAAAACCAAACAAACGATGAGTTATCATTCAAATATGTGCAAGTTGTTCACACCTTTAATTGTTAATTTACTGAGCAATTATTCTAGTAAAACAAGAGAAAATATGGTCCGATTGTCCTACAGAAGTCATATTCACCTTAAGAAAACTGTAAGAAGGCATATTATAGAAAAAAAGAGGACATATTTCATATATTTATATACATATGTGTTAGTTGTCATTTGGAGTGCATTGGATGCCTTAATCCCAAACTGCACAGATCACAGTAAAAGGTTAATCATTTGTCTGGATATGCTGTTGACAGTATGATATATCTGAAGACTATCCCATATGTGATTTGTCTATTTGATTACTTTGTGGGAAAACATTTTGACAGCCATGACATCAGGCTGGATCAAACACGGTTGATGCTTTCGATAAATCGACTAATATCTTCTTCAGTACCAGTAATCTTTGCACGTTGATAATTATTCCATAGCATACCTGTAACATCTAATACAATTAAATCACTAGATATTTTACTAACTGCTTGTAATAAAAATACTCCGTCACATCCTAAATTGTTATTGACGAATCTTGCACATTCTGTTTCTTCTGTATGAGATAGCTGTTTCAGCGCTTTTAGATATTGTCGAATAAACTGTACACGTCGGTAAGGTATGCATAATTTAGTAATCCATATAAATGTATTCAGTACAGTTAAACTTGCCATAATTATATACCAAAACCATAGAAACACATAGACTTTTTCAATGAAATAGTTGACTGGAAGGACACATTGTAGAGTATAACTGTGCGGTAGAGAAAAAGGAAAAGAAAAAACAGGATTAAAATGGTATCAGGTAATAAAAAAATTCAAAATTCTAAAGGTTTTGTGAATTAAATTATAAATAATGGTGACATTCTAGTATTTATCAGGAACTAGGAGTGGTTAACTGGTAGAATGTTGGCCAACAGCTCAGGAGGTCTGGGTTCAGTTTCTGATCGACTCATTACTAAACCCTGGACTATCTTACTTGCTTCTTGCATATCCTGAAAACAGGGAAGATTGAATGTGTGACAAACTGTATGATACATTTCGTTCACTCATTTAAGTTTCGAGTGCATTATAGAGCTTTGAACACTTCGAGGTTTCGGTAGTGATAGTGATGTTGTTGTTTTTTACAGGGGAGGGTTGTTAGCCTCGCTTTCAACCTCTTCTCTTTTCCTGTCAGCTAGTAAGCTCGAATAGGGTCCAGGACAATGTGCCTGTCAAGAACGAAACTTGAACTTCATTCGTGGTTGGCGAGTTCTCCATCACTGACCCACTGACGCTCATGAAACATGTAATGCGACTATGTTATCGAATAGGTTAGACTTACCTATTTTAGAGGTTAGCAAATACAGAAAAGACAGGAATAACGAATTCTAAATCTTTTCTATTGTAGGAACCTTACAAAAGTTAAAATGGAATTACTTTTGTTCACTTACACATCCTATACCAAAGGTAGCTGTTAGAAACTCCAGCAGATATAACTGCACTCGTGAAAACCTTAAGGCTTACAGAATCTTGTGAAAATATGTTTTCTGCTTTTTATTTTGTATCTTTCATAATAGGACTGGCATAATGTGTAAATAATAAACAAAAAATCCTGTATCAGCTAATGAGGCAGAAACTTCATATGCCACTGTTTTTCCGTCGAGTAATTCCAGTTAGAAAAGTTAAGCAGAATAATGACATATTTAGATTTTTGAAAGAAATCGGAATAATAAGTTATTCAACAGTAATAATTTGAAAAACAAAACAAGTTAGTATAGAATCGAATTCATAGTTGGAATTCAATCAACTAAAAGGAAAGTATGACGCCAATCGAAATCTGTTCAACTGATCATTTTTAGATCCACCAATACAAAAGCCATAATTATGCTTATCGGGAATACCATAAAAATGTTTCGCCTTTGAATTAAGAATGAAAAGTAGTCCAGAAGGTATTCAAAAACATTCTATTACTCATTAAAAGACGTTTGTTGAAACAATTAGTTCATAGTTTGCACAGTTGTATGAGAATTTGTGATGTCTACCAGAAATCTATGTATTTCAAGGCAGGTTCCGTCAAAAACTCACACAGGTTAGAGCCACCTTTTGAGACTTTATTTCTAGTTTACAAATCTTCAGCAGCACTCACCCATTGTGTAATTAGAAATTCAAGCAAGTAAATTAGCACTGAGTAGTTATGTTGAAAGAACTGGAAACATCATACTAGTTACCGGTGTCCTATCAAAGTATCCACCACAGTCCTACAGGAGGTCAATCGCGAGCCCGAACAGTCCAGTAGTAACTTCTCTGACTGCAGCACTGGGTGACGCGGGTTCGGATGTCAGAAGGGACATGAGTTCCTTCAAAGTTGCAGAGACGCCTTGGTGACTGGTGAGTGCCAACTAGCACGAAACCTAGGTGAAGCAAGGCTTCCTGTGGCCGATTGCCTCCAATCATCTAATATCATCAAATCAATGTACACCGTGATGGCAAGCTACCTAGAATGGTGGCCACATTTCAAACCTGACTGACTGATAGAATTCAGTCTGCACTGAATAGGGGACTAGACACACTAATGTCCAATCAAAGGATCTAACATTTCATTATTCCTAACTTCTTTCAATGCATGATAAGATGATGCCTTCATCCGCCTAGATTTTCACGACTGAATTAATAATAAATAAAATAACTTTTCCTTCACGTTCCCAGTGGAACATAGGGCTTCAAACTAGTGGCTTGAAGTTTCTGTAGCAGTGTTTATTTTTACAGGATTGGGTTGCTAGCCTCATACCCAACCTTTACTCTTCACAAGCTTTATTTTTGGCTTAGCAAGGTAAGCAAGATTTTCACAACTGAATTAAGGGTCTTTATTCGTTAAGCATGTTAACAGAACTTCAAAAAAGATCCCTTTCAGATCTAATAACTGATTAACTGAGATTAATACCCGCAATTTTTATTTTATGGGAATAAGTGCAAATGAATCACTATTTATAGAATGGAATTTTAAATAAAAGGTTTCAATTTAGAAACAGTTGGATTTATTTTTAAGGGAAAATACTTCATGCAATTAGTTTGATTAATTATCTTTACAGAATAACAGTAGGTTACTCAAATGATGTAGGCTTGTAATTTAAGTTGATAGCATAAAACTAAATGTGTATCAACCACTTTGCTGTTTGAATTGTCTCTTGACCTTATGTAAACTGTTTAACTAAGTGCAAAATAAATTGATTTCCATGGATTTAACAAAGTCAATATAGTGAAATATAATGAGGACACACGCCGAGGAGACTGCTGAATGATACCATGTGTCAGGAAGAGCAAACGACGGTTTGAGCGTCCTAGGATGACGCTTAGAAGATCCTTTGAGGAGAAAATGGAGGCTTGTGTACAGTGGTGGAGTCACACGAAAAAGATTGCAGAAAACAGGGTAAGATGGCGATTTTCCGTTGAAGCCCAATGTTTTATTTTGAACCCAAGGGAATGCTAACTATAGCAAGTGGGGAGTAAAATTTATCCTTGAAAATATCTCTCAAAACATGCCGTAAAATTTTTATTATTTTAACAAACTTTAACAAGGTACAGTTAAATGTAAACTTTACAAGAAACATATCAAAGCTTAGTTCTGAATCAGGCTTTGATATGGTAGACATGGATAGATAAATTCTATGACCACCTTGAATTTCGAAGTAAGAGTATAATCTTTTCAAATTCAATGGTTGAATATATTTGTCCAGCACTAATTACAATCTTATTGCTGAAAAACACACTTGAAATGTTTTGATTCGATCACGGGCTGACATCAGCCAGATAAACATTGGAAAACTAGAGATTAATGAACAGCTCTTTCGTCTTAGTTTAAGACTCTTCACAGTGGTCACCTACTGAGGTTCGAAGTCAGGCCCTTCAGGATATAAGGCGAGCTCATAGACCATTCTGACCTTGGGACCCGATCCAGTGATGCATGAAACGAGAAAAACTACAAGTTAAAAATGAAATCACGATCAGGGCAAAAGGTGACAAGTATTAAATGTTAAAATACTTTGTCTTCTGTACAAGAATGTAATGTATTTATATTTATAATGTCCTACTTGTAATACTCTATCGGTCTTTTTATGGTGTAATCACGTAATTTAACGAGTACAGAGAGGGAAATTAAAGCCTCCAACACAATGTTAGACTGTTATCCAAACGTTTTAACCTATAAATAAATTAGAATTCAAACAATTATCTCAACGGATGTGAACACCGTAGGTGTCCACCTAACACTATAAGTCCGATTAGGCTTTCGAAATTTCGGTAATTTTCAAATACAACGAATCCATAGCAAAAAAGCAGGTGGATTATTATACCTTGGGTTGTTAAGTATAGTCAAGTAGGCCTTCCTAATGTGACTATCGCTTTCTTTTATACTGTAACCTGAAACTAATTTGTTTTCAATAATGTGACATTTTTTGCATATACTTTCAAATACGAAGATTCATTAGAAAATTGTATTCAAATGAAGAACTGGAAAATCTAAAAATAGAAGCAAAACAAATTAGGAAGAGGCAAGTTTTCTCCTTTTTTTTTGTTTCAATACTAATTAGTCTTCTATACCGCTTCTCTCTTTAAGGCAGGTTCTAACAAAACGACAACAAAAAAACTATCATCTTCACATTACTTAATTTGATTTACTAATTTTTAATTATACTAATTAATCAGAAAGTATGGATAATAGCTAACATTGATGCGTTTCATTCGCTTTCTTCTCCTTTTCTCCTCTCCTCTCCTCTATCCTACCCATACTATTTCCGAAATTTTATCCCAGCTTGTTTTTATTTAGTTTTCTCACGTGATATAAATTCATTTGTTGTTGTTTTTTTCAGATGTGACTTTTATGCCTACCTATTGACTGACTTATCCATTCTCTTTATTGATCTTAAGGTGATCTGAAAAATTTCCGATATTGTTTTATAAATTATTTTAGTTATAGTCCACGTTATGGTCTATACTTGTCTGTGTATGCCTTGAAGTCACACTCTAATTCCCGCTTCTTTTTTGTTAATATAATAGGTAGTGAAGTATAAAGTATGCTTAAAAAGAGAATAGTAATTGGAGTTGAAATACAAATGACACCTTTTGTTATATCCAAACTCAAACACACACACACAGACGCAGACGTACGCAAACACACGTACTTATATAGGTAAGTACGTTAGAACAGCAACTGCAATCATTTAACGGATCTGTGTGAACACAAATATATAAATAAACAAATAAATTGTAATTCATGATGGTTGGTTTATAAAATAAAATATTAAAAACAAATATGAACTGGGAAAATAATAAAGTGTAGTTTAGAATAATAAAAAAACGGACAAAGACCTGTTCGGGGTGCCAGCGTAACTGTTCTCCCCTATAATATCATTATTATCATTATTGTTCCTTAGGGTTCCAAGTGGGACATAGGGTTTCAAAAACACATCTCCACTTTGTCCTATCTTCTGCTGTCCTCTTCAGCTGGCTAACTCCACGACTGCCCATAATCTCTCATCTCCTCCTCACCACACTATCTCCTCCATGCCAACCTCGCAAAGACGACTAACTCGTCGCTTCAATCCGGGTTCCACTCCAGCTATGGCCTGCACTGAGTGCGGTGTCATTCAGTGGGCTCCTCAATCTATGCTCGATCCATCTCCATGTTCTCCTGCATATTTGTTCAGTAACCAGCTCTTGGTTGGTTTGTTCCCATAGTTTCTTGTTGCTAATTCGTTCTGGCCAGCCGTTTGATCT